CTGCCGCGCTGAGCCGACAAACAGCTGATCAGCTGTTTGTTGGCTCAGCACGGCAGCCATGTAAATGTAAATGAAGCCGCGATCATTTAAATCGCGGCTTCATTTGCCTTTGCCAAAAAAACAAATCTACATGCCTCTGCCGACTGAGGCATGTAGTTTAGACGTACCCCTTGGGTGCCACAGTGGCACACATCCAAACACTGCCGCGCTGAGCCGACAAACAGCTGATCAGCTGTTTGTTGGCTCAGCACGGCAGCCATGTAAATGTAAATGAAGCCGCGATCATTTAAATCGCGGCTTCATTTGCCTTTGCCAAAAAAACAAATCTACATGCCTCTGCCGACTGAGGCATGTAGTTTAGACGTACCCCTTGGGTGCCACAGTGGCACACATCCAAACAAGCGCACATAAACTCAATACTGGTGCACTCACAAAACTCACTCTGCTCATGGATGGAAAATCTGAAGGAACACTGGAGAGGCCCAAGCAAATCTCAATACAATTCTTTCCCCAAGATAAGTACATGTTGTGCAGCTAGTCTGTAATAGCAGCATATATATACAGGGTTGATATTTGCTTTGTAAAATGAAGTGATTTCACACATCCCTACATAGGATTTTTAAACAGAATTAGTAAATCTATAACTAAAGTCAAGCAACACAGGGTTGGTTTTTTTTCCATTTCTAGAAAACAGGGGGGAGGTGATCCTTTGTTTCAAAAATATAGCAAATTTGGTAGTCCAACATGTTTGAAATTAACAATAAAGTGCATAAGATTGGCAAATTTTCAAGTTTTATTTTGGCTTTTAAAAATTTCATCATGATCTTGGAGAGGTTTCACTCCTGCCATGGCTGTTGTTCATGTTGTCGTCTTTTGTAGTTCTTTCCAACCTATCCTCCAGCAATGCCTGGAATGCCACCTACGCTTCCACATTCAGGTCCTTTTGGGTCTCTTCAGGGAGCATTTCAACCAAAGGTACACATTTTTTTATTATTGCATTAGCACAGGCTTCATTCTTTCAGTGGGAGACTATGACTGGAATTGTGCTAATGGGGATCATATGAATTACCTTTTTGACTAGCTCTGCTGCTTTTGGGGCCCTGGGATTGTTCTTTGGAGAGGAATGTGCAGAAGTAACATGGAAGTTGTCGCAAGAATCACAGGTCCAATGATAAATACCCAAGGGGGGAAGGACAGAACCAGGTGGACAGTTTTATCAAATAAAAAATATTTATTTATGACAATGGTGAATTTATAGTATTTATTCTAAGATTTTTAATAGACCGTGTTAATAATGAATTTACAGTATTTATTATATTTATTCTATGATTTCTAGTTAAACGTGTCAGAGATATAAGGATGGGAATGGCAAGGGGAATAGTCCCTAATCTTAAAATATCCAGCTACACTAATTAAATAACGGTGATAACTACAAACTCTATGTACTACCCAAAACAACTACAACACTAAGCTTATACAACAGGAAAAAATCAAATCCTACATACCAACTTACACAGCACACAGAACATTTCACAGATATCGGTTCGGTTGCGAAGGCCTTGGTTACGCCCGAGAGTCGGGGGAGGTGGCTGGTCGGTTGATCAGGCCGGCAGCGCTTTGAAATATACGAGACGGCGCACGCATGGTGGTACGTGTGTTGCGAAGACCTCCTAGAGCGAACTGTGCGATGGGTATTTATCCCCAAATCTGCACATCACTTCCCTGCGCTTGCATATTACCATATGTGGCCCAATGGTTACCAAGTGGGGGGGTCGGTGTCCCAGGGGTTGGGCCGAAACTGTGCAGGTTTCATGCGATCAGGTAAGCCTCGCAGTTCTCACGCCAAGGTGACGGGTGGGAGAGTCTCAGGCTATTTTCCCCTTTTCACACCTTCCCCTTTTCTAAAGGCAATGGTATGCAGGAAGGGTGTGGCCGGTTTCTCTCAAGGAGTCAAGAGCGGCCTGGCCAAACTTTTTTACTGGGGGGCAGTTTCTTTTCTCTAACAGAAGTCTACGGTCTGGTCTACACTAGAGTTAGGTCGACACAAGGCAGCTTATGTTGCCCTAACTAAATAAGCATCTACACTAAAAATTTGCTCTTGCTGATGTAACTGGCCTGCTACACCAATTTAATAATTCCACCTCCGTGAGAGACATAGAGCCAGTGTCGATGTAGTAAGGTCAATGCATGTCAGTATGCACACTGAGTTGCTTACATTAACTGTTCCTGGCTTTTTGGAAGCCATTCCCCAGTGCTCAGTGCTGACAATTCAATCTGTACAAGTGCTGCTGGTGAGGACTCACACCACTGAAACAAGGAGCATAGTGTGGACAGGCACAAGCAATTTAATTACTGTGGCAGCTGATTGCCAACGTAACTTAGGTCAATGTAATTTTGTAGTGTAGACATGCCCAAAGTCAAAGCTTAGCTAAGCAGAAACTCGGGGTCAAATAAATGATTTAGTTCTAATACAGCCTGATGCATTCCAGAGAGCTGTGCAAATTAGACTGGTACACAGGGGTCACTGTCCAACTAGATAGCAGCCAGCTGTGGAGGTGAAACTGACTATCAAAGCACAGGAACAATAGAGAGGGAGTGTTTTTCTGTGGTTAGAGCAGGAGTGAGGCATTCAGTTCCCAGGTCTGCCACTGATTCCCTTTCTGACCTCCAGCAAGTCACTTACCTCTCTGTGGCTCCGCTTCTTCATCTATAAAATGAGGGTAATTACATATACCATGCAGTGTTTGTAAAGTACTTTCAGATGCTTAGATGAAAGACAAAGTACAACTGCAAAGTATTATTCTAACTCATGCTGATTGGCAATATTTGCAAATTTTGCCATTGTAATATTAAAAAAACCTCTGAGACACATACTTTTTTCAAACTTAATGTTGGTTTTTTAAATTTAGAAAGTGTAGCGAAAATGCTACATCCATTCCAATAGAGAAACAATCCATAGTGCACAGAGATTATTGATTACTTTGACGGGTCCGCGGGGACCCACACTGGGTCTGGCAAAGCCTCTGCCGCTTTGCGGGAGGGTGTAATATTAAAAAAACCTCTGAGACACATACTTTTTTCAAACTTAATGTTGGTTTTTTAAATTTAGAAAGTGTAGCGAAAATGCTACATCCATTCCAATAGAGAAACAATCCATAGTGCACAGAGATTATTGATTACTTTGACGGGTCCGCGGGGACCCACACTGGGTCTGGCAAAGCCTCTGCCGCTTTGCGGGAGGGTGGGGGAGGCCAGCCCGACGGCCCGCGTACGCTAGTTATGGGAAGGGGCGGGCCAAGCTGGGGGAAAGGCGACGTGGTGGAGCACCAGGACACCGGCATGGCAGAGTGGCAGGCTGGCATGTCCATCAGCGGGCCCATTCAAAAGGGTGGTGGTCAGAGGAACAGGTGGTGTCGGAGGATGGCAGAGCCCGGAAAGGGACTGGGAGGTGACCCGAACCGGGGCCAGAGCAGAACGGTGGCCATTGCGAGTGTACTGCAGCAATGACAAGAAGCTCCAGGGACTCTGGAAGGAACCCCGGTCGGTGAGCAGCGGGACAAGGACAGCGAGGGGGGGAAGGAAGCAGCCCGGGGCAGGGCGATACTGGCGCCCGTGGGCTGACGAGTTTCGGGCAAGCACCCCGTCAGCCGGGTAGGGACCTATGCGTCCCTACACCTTAGGGCCCCGAGCTGGGGCCCAGTGGAGAGGGAGGGCCCGGGTGCCCCTTCCCCCCCCCCCTTCGTAACTGGAGGGTGACGGTAATCCTTACGTGGGCGGGGGGCAACCAACCCTGCATATGGGGCTATTGGACTTGGGACAGTTGGGTAATGACTAGCGTATGGGAATTTGGGGGATGTTAAGGCAGCAGTTGGCAGGGGGCCCTGCCTGGACGCATGGGTAGGGGCTTTGGACTAAGGTGAACCGCCACAATGACGTTGTGATAAAACATGTTTATTACCTTCCTAAGTGATGTGGTGTTATATATCTCCTGTCATTTCTAAACACATCTCTGCAGAGAGATGTGAAATGATCTGTAGAATTACTATTTATTGAAGAGCTTCAGATTTACTGTGCGGATGCGAAAGATCACTTTCGCAACCAAACCAGCAAGAAACTTTGGGCCAGGGTATGCATCACTCACATTGGTGAGCAGTTCCTCACATGACCAATCCCACTGAAGTTGATGGGAGTAACTATTTACCACTGTGATTAAGGACTTGACAGTATTTTTTAATGGAAGCTAAAGGAGCTTTTCAGTGATTTCTCAAGGCTCTGTGATCCTTTCTTTGCAAATAGTGTGGAATCCATAATAAATTACCCATCTCAACTACAGCACTGCACAAATTGAGTAGAGGAATGGAAGAATAAGTTGTCCAGTTGACTCTAATCATGGTGTTTTGGCAGAATTCCAAACTTTCTTCCTAAATTCCACCCCCTGCCCATCTTTCTGCCTAATGTTCCTATTCTTGCAAAGAACTTCAAAGGATCTCTAATGGCCACAAGTGGTCAGGGCCTCAGTTTTACATCTCATCTGAAATAGATGGACAAACCCTATGGAACTGTCAGTGTTGTAGAATATCTCTGATAGTGCAGTTTTGCTACAAGGCTTCCTGTAATGGGATGACCTCTGATACACTGATAGTGTGCTCTTCTGGTTTCCATAAAATCATAGAACACTAGAACTGGAAGGGACCTCGAGAGGCCATCGAGTCCAGTCCCCTGCCCTCATGGCAGGACCCAGCACCATCTAGATCATCCCTGACAGGTGTCTGTCTAACCTGCTCTTAAATATCACCAGTGATGGAGATTCCACAACCACCCTAGGCAATTTATTCCAGTGTTTAACCATCTTAATTATAAAACTATAATAGCATCTTGCTGTAAAATACCATGAGATCTACAGATAAACTGTTCTGCAGTAAGAAGGAAAGA